TGATTATAGGTGATGGCCAGGTGCCTCTATTTAGTCTTCTTGCCCCTTCATCTTAAGAATATTGTTGTTCTTTTAAAAATGTGAAGAATTTTGGGTGTAGCCACATAGTGTCATTTAAATTTACCTGTGGCTCTTCACAAGATCAAGAGCTTGTGATAAATGTTAATTTTTTCCAAGGAAAGCAATTTTTCTATCCAGCACATCAAATCTGAGAATGTTAGGCTTTAACTTAGCCAATGAACACAAAATTAACAAGAACACTCAACACTGCTTGAACCTATTGTACAATTCAATACATTTTCTGTGGTATATTTTAGCAAACATCTTGACAATTCTAAGCAAATGAAGCTTGAATTTCCTTATTGATATCTGGGCAGATTTTAATCAACAGTCGAGGGTCTGCTTACTTTTGAATGTTCCAGGTGGAAAGAATGTGTGCGATCATGAAAAGGGAAGTAAGTGCTCTTGACGCCATCTCCAACTCCCACTGAATTTAATCTAAGGGTTAATACCACAAAGCATTGATGAATCATGAGCTGAAGTGGTAGTGGCCCTTTGAGATGGGAACAAGAACGTTGGTCTTTTCAAAGCTCTGAAGTGATGATGAGAGGCACAAGTGTCCTAACGCGTCATTAATGTGAAAAGCAAACTGTATTCAAGCTGAATTTGCAGTGTCCTCACCATGACAAGTTTATAGCCTCTCACCAATTGATAGCACAGCTGCCAAAAGCACTTCTGTGCCTACACATTGAAGCTTCACAAATGAAACAGATGTTTTCTGATTTAACCTGCGAGAATACATATTTGTTCTCCTTTATGCATTAGCTTTTCACTGAATGAAGCAATTAAGACAGTTTTTCTCTTGCTGAGAAATTATAGGCTGAAGCATGAGCTTTTCCTTTTCTACTTTTTTTTTTCTTGGTTTTTTTTTTTTTTGGTTTTTCGAGACAGGGTTTCTCTGTGTAGCTTTGCGCCTTTCCTGGAACTCGCTTTGGAGACCAGGCTGGCCTCGAACTCACAGAGATCCGCCTGGCTCTGCCTCCCGAGTGCTGGGATTAAAGGCGTGCGCCACCACCGCCCGGCTCCTTTTCTACTTTTTAATGAACGCAATAAATAAAAATGTTAAAGTAGGGGTTTCTGCACACTCACAATGGTTGGGTTTAAGACCCATGGTTACAAGCCGGTTTGGTAAGCAGGTTGCATAAATCAGCCACTTTGAAGTGCCTGAGCTCTTTGCCTCAATTGCTATCTGCACCTATTCACCTGTGCAAGTATAATTTACCATCAGCGAACCAACTAACAAAATACCCTTGAAGAAAAACACTCTTCAATAAATAAATATATGTTTATCTTTTGCATTCATATTTGCTATGATATAAGTAAAGGTCACTCACCAGTCATTCCTTCTTAATTTCTTTTCTTGCCTATGAAGGGAGGGCTTAGGACTTTCCTCATATTTCTGGGTTTCACTCTCATGTTTAATGTGTGGGATGAACATTAATAGTAGATGATCTGCTCCTCTGTCTTTTTAGCATCTCATGGAATGAGACTGATTTTCTCTGGTTTACCTATTTTCTCTATGTGCAAAGAGAAGGAATGACTATGTCTGAGTTCCAGCTTTAAGAATTTGGAAAACAAAATATAAACTTTCCCAAGCCCCACCTGCTATATAAATGTTTAATTATGTTAGTGAATATTAAAATGCCCAACAGAGATACATTAGTTTTGTTGTTGACTATTTCTTTTCTTGCTCATTTTGTAGGAAATTCCAGATAAGTAGACATTCCACATTGCACCTGATTAAACATTTATACAAATAAATGCATTTGGTACTGATAGTTTTGATTTATGCCTGAATAGCCTTGGGCCTGGGCACACGTGGTTAAGTTTAATTTTCTTTATAAATACCTTGCATCTTACATTGGAACGGTTCTTTAGGGAAACAGGTTCCATTTGAGAGTAATTGCAGGGTGGTCATTGATGTTCTAGGTAAGTTGCTGCCAGCTGTTTTATTTCATGTTCCCTATATTTATTTCATACATAAGCTAACCAACAAAGCAGGCAGAGTTCAGTCGGGGAGAAGAAATCACTGCAGTGAAGGGCAAATGAGATGAGGCGGCCCCTGCCCTGCTGGCTGGCAAGAAAGGGATTCCTCAAGGGACTGGTAGGGATCAACTAGGATCTACTCACAAGGACTGGAGACAGCCGAATTTGTCAGAGAAAAAGATTTCCAGAGAAATCAAATGGAGAAGTCCAGGTGAGAGCTCCTTTCCCGGGAAGTCCCCTTTTGGGTAACTCTTCTAAGAAACAGGCTATGCCCATGGGAAAGAAAATGCTCATTATTTGCTGAACACTTTGGACTTGAGAGAGTACCAGCATGGTGAGTGATGGCTGTTTTCTAGTCACTGCTTTGATTCTGTTGGTCCTTGTTTAGTCATAATTGAATTCCAATTCAATCTAGCCTGCCCACTCTTCTCCAGTGTTGGCCACTGCTCCACCTCAGAACATAACAGAGTGAAGAGCCACCCCTTTCTTTCACCCCTCATCACTCTTATACTTCTACTTCTTCAGGCTTGGGAAAATGCAAGAATTTTCACAAAGGGAAGACTATTCCTTCCCTTTCGTAGGTGCTGTTGGGGGCACAGAGGTCCTTGTACCCACAGAAAAGCACCAAGAGAACCAGGAATGTTAATCACACAGGTGATTAAAATCACGTACCTGCATTCCATCCAGAAAGCTAAGCATGGAGTTTGTTAATGACCTGGTGAACTTTTTGCTCTCTGAAGGGACAGATTTCACCCTAATTCCCCAGAATAATTATCCCAGACTCTTCCCTCCCTAGACCATTACCCATCCTTAGGGGAGATGTCACAAGTACTGACCTGTTAACCTCTATGCTATAGGTCAGAGACCACACTAGATTCTAGGCTTTTTATCTATAGGCCCCACTGTCATGGTAACATGCACTTTGTAAACGTTTCTATGTAGTCACCTACATGGCTTTATTGTGCACCTAGAATTAGAATAACTGGACTGATTGTTGCCTGGAAACCTTTTCCCAAATTGTACTGTTTTTTTTTTTTTTTTTTTTTTTTGTTTTTTCGAGACAGGGTTTCTCTGTGTAGCTTTGCGCCTCTCCTGGAACTCACTTGGTAGCCCAGACTGGCCTCGAACTCACAGAGATCCGCCTGGCTCTGCCTCCCGAGTGCTGGGATTAAAGGCGTGCGCCACCACCGCCCGGCCCAAATTGTGCTGTGTTTTAAACATGCTAACAATGAGCTGCCTGGCATTAGACTCCCCAAACTCTGATCCAGGGTGACTAAGTCAGTCTACACTGGGATTTCATTCTCATCTATTCATTCGAGTAACTTCCCTGTGAGCACCTGCAGGGACCCCCTTCAATGTGTCACTGTAGTGTGTCCTTGATTTTTAAAATTTTCCATGTAGTCTTCACATGTGCACACTAAGCTCACATGTATGTTTGCCAGGAAACTGCTAGCTGGATCTTGTCTAAAGTATCACATATCCACTGGCTTGATTCCCTTGAGTCTAGTTCGTTGGCACACATCCGAAGGCTCCTTGGGTGGGTGAGCTTGGCAGCAGGCTTTGCTGGGGTCTTTTCAAGATGGTTCAAAGCTCTGGCAAGGATCTGTGGGCTCCATGGGAATATGATCAAGACTTGCCCTTCAATGGTGGAGATATTTGTCAAATGATTTACTGCTGGCTCCCTCTGGTTTTGTTTTACTCTGATCAAACAAGAAGGAATCCCAATATGTCAGAATGTTTTTAAATCTCTTAGTGTTTTTGTGATTTTTTAATAGCTGTTAAATGATTTTGCTCTTTGTTCAGTGAAAGAAAATTAAGGCAGTCTGTGTAATCATGTTAATAAGTAGTTTTGCTCATGATGTAGTCCATGAGTGAAGAAAACAAGATTAAAGAGAAGTGAGGTCTTTCTACCCAGATGGCTACAAGTACAATTCAGGACTGTTGTTCACTTACTGGAAACCTGTTGCTGAGTTGATCTTTCTATTTGCTAGGAATGAGATGTGCTTCTTCATATGTGAACTACAAAACCCCACCGTGACCACAGTATTGGCTTTGTGTGATACATTAAAAAAAGGGGTATACTGAGGAAGGCAGAACGTGCTTCACAGAGGCATGACTTAGGTTGTGCTGGGAAGAATTAGCCAAGCTAGCAAAATGGAGGGCAAACATTAGGAAGGACTGGCAAGCACAGGAATGGGCATGTGTGGGCAACTGCAAGCTAAGCAGAAACAGAGGGAGCATCTCAGGAGAGAAGAGGCACACAGACATGGAATGGCCACCGAAAGATACTGCAAGGGGTTGCGTAGTTGAGTTATATGATAACATACAGTATTTATTGTGTGAAATTACTGATGTGATCTCCTCTGACTGTGCGTGAATTCAGGGAATATGAGTATTATGGTACATGGGGATTTTGCATGTCCCGATTACTTTTAGGACTTCTTGCTATGATTCTTGTTATAGAATGAGTTCCCTGAATAAGGTACCTCAAAATGACAGCTGTCACTGACGATTCGTTAGCATCTGCATTCACCCATCAAGTACTCTTATCAAACATCTACTGTTTCAATGGGTACCCTTCCCACTTTTATTCTGTTGTTTTCTCCATGGTGTATGCTAGCCAGTATCCAGTGATTACAAATGTAACCACTTTAAAGAAGAGATGTTAATATTAACCAGCAACTGCCCACTCATTATCTAGCCTTTACCGATAATAGGCTTATTACCCGTACCCTGAAATTCTGACTTTCATTTCTCTGACATGACTGAAGTCAGACTGTTGTTAAGTCACGTGGGTTTGGCACCTGGTGACTAAGTCATTTTCTATGATGGACATGTTTGCCCACTATATCCAAATAGCTCTGTAATGTCCTTTTCATATATTTTAGAAAACTGACATCAGAAATGCGCCCTCATGGAAATATTTGTGCTCATTTGAAAAATAACATACATACTCCACTTGTTAACATTAATTTTTATAAAATACCTTAAAAGAACAGATAAAGTACTTGAGGTTACATATCCAGAATTGAAAAAAAAGAATGAATAAAATATAAATTAATTGAACACATAACTATTTGCCACATTAGACAAGTTTAAAAACTGCATTTCAAAACAATAAAAATGGGAATTGGGAAGAAAACCTTTCTTTCTATTGCTCTTTTTCCGGAACCTCTTCCTCGAAGCTCTAACATTCCAGGTTTACAGGCAGTACCTGCATTAATATTTAAAATATACCGTATTTTACTTTCAAATCAGTCCATTTGAAACATTTTAAAACCAGATGAGATAATTCAGTGCAAACTAAAGCTTCAAGTTGAAAATCCAAGAGGCAAAGTCACGTTCAAAATGCAGAAAATACTTCTGGAACTGAACAATGAAGGAGTTCACATTATGAAGAATTCTTTGCAGGTGTCCCTGTGTGAGAAATGCTGAGTCAGCAAACAGACCTTCCGAGGTTGTAATTCGGGCTCTGTTGCACTGTGCGCAGGGCAAAGTAGGACGGGCTAACAATTATAATTGTGGGAGCAAGTTCATGTTTAACATTAAAATGGCTGGATTTGGTTCTAGAAAATTTGGCTGTGATATATCTGATACCAATAGATCAGGAGAAAAAAAAAAAAAGGAAAAACAAAAAACCAAACCAAAACAACACCACCACCCAAATAACCTCCCCGAATTCTGGAAATACAATTACCAGAATACTGTTGGAGATGGATCCCAAGTCCTTAATACCCAGAGCAATTTGTAGATAGGGGCTAAAATTGGCCATGATCTATTTTAATTGTATACTAAAGCCATACTAAGGACTGGCTTAAGGGTAATTTTATTATCAAATCTTGAGCATTGGGAAGAAAATCTAACTTTCTGGATCGGCGGGAACAAAGTCTGGATCACTTCAAAGTATTAACTAATAGTTTCATAATGAAAATTAGTTTGTATTATGTCTTCAAACCAATTCTGTGAGTTTCATGGTTTCTGTCTCTTATGTATGACTCATTAGATTCACTTTAATGACAAAATTGGCAGCCGCCAGAGTGGAAGATGCAGAGGTCTTCGTACAATTCAGAAAACTATGTTTTTCTTCCTAGACCTCAGGTTCAAATAAACGGTGTCATCACATCTTTCACTTTTAAATTTTTGATGAAAATCTCATGTATTACCTAAGAAGTGCATGAGAATCTGCTGTGGCTTCCAGCATTCCTGTCTTACATCACTCCCTAATCTGTTAAGGATGTTCTAACAACGTTAGGACAACAAAGGGGCAACTTTGGGTTTTCGGCTATGCCGACTGTTGGCAAGTTACACAAAGCCCAAAATACACAGCATTGTCCCAATATGACATCAGAACCAATAAAAACAAGTAAAAAAAATTATGGGCAGATAATAAACAACAAACAGCCAATTGTAAAAAGTATATAAAAAAGAACTGTATTCACATGTCTTTACAGGAATAGCATCTAAGGAAATTTAAAAAATACCCCTCTGGGGGCAGAAGCAGCATAGGACCATCTAAACAAATCTAAAATAGGCAAAGACTATGAATCCTCAAGTCCTGTCTTATCCTATGAAAGCTGGCCTGTAAAGGAATGTGCTGATCCCCTTCCTGGGCAAACATGGCTTCGTGCATGAGTTTTTTTACAACACCAACTCCACCAGATTTATACAACGGTCCCTCTTCTCCCTAGTCAGGATGAAGGACTCCTTATCTGAGGCATTTCTGTGTGTCACACTGGGTGTGGAGTAAAGAGCGGTACAAACCTCCATACACTCACAACTAAGTCTATCTTTAGAAAGTATCTAAATGTGGTTCAAGCATTTTGCATGGAGATAGTTTTGATTCTTTTTTTTTTTTTTCCACTGTTAGGGATGAAAAAACCCTGACATTTCTGCAGAGTTCTGAAGCCCTAGCATCAATTTCTGGTGCTTACATCCATCAGACTAGAGGCATTTACCATCAAACACATATATACAAATGATATGCTGGAGTCAGTTTGTGCTTTAAAAACAAATCCAAGAGTGCAAAGCACATTGTAGATGGTCAATAAATATTTTTAGATTAAAAGTAATACCATGGTTTCAGAAGAGCCACTCATTTTGTTTAAAAGGCAGAATTATGTTGAAGTCTTTCATGTGACTGGATGGGGCAACATAGAACAATCAATGAGAAAACCCACAGAGTAAACAGGAATCCTAGTTTGACTGAAGAAAGGGTCCTAAGATTTTTGCAAGTACCACAGCCACAGTAGCAGTGGCACATAACAGTCATCAGTGCCTCAGGAGGAGGCTTGCACACCGGGAGGAGCCTGTGTGACATCGATGAAATAGAAAATGGACTCTATTCCACTTGGGAAAGGTGTGTCCATGACCTTATCTAAAGGCGTATTAACATATTCCGAGGTGACAGCCACCTTTTCCAGCTCTCCTGAAAGTGATGCAGGCATAAATATCAGGGGATCTCATTATGGTACTGTAATACAGCACTGTCTCATGCAAGCCTGTTTCTCCTGTATCTGCAGTAGTCACTTTTACAGCATCATGGCACTCCTGGGGCTATAAGAGGGAGAATATGGAAAACTAAAGGTCACAGAACTTACACTAACAAGGGAAGCTCTTTTATATCATATAAAAACCCCTTACAAAAGGCAGTTTATTGACAAATAAATGCTTTATACATTCAGGTTTTTCCCCACCTCTCAACAGTGATGGTTCCCAAAGAAAAGAGTCAGTAGTGAAGACAAGACCACACACAGTTTTCTTTTTCTTTCTGCATTAGTTTGAGACACTGAAAACCAGAACCTTCAGACTAGCGTGCTGTGTAAATGGGAGTCATGGAACTGGACCTGGGGACTTGAGGTGGGGCCTGGAGAGAGAGCAACACAAAGAAGTGATTCTGCTGCCGCTGTGGACAGCAGGGGTGGCGTGAAAAGGTTACAGCAGACATGACCAACTCTACAAAGGGCCTGTCAGGAACACAGTACAGGAATCCAAAACAGAGACGAACTGCAATTCTGCCAACGTGTAAACAAGGAAAAGCATTTCACAGATTCAAAGTTCAAGGGGAGTAAACGTCTTGAAATTATTTCATCAGTTCAACCCTGATTTAAAAGTATGGCTAGCGCAAACACAGAAGCTGCAGCGTGGGCATCCTAAGGGAGTCGTGGTCTCCAGAGAAGTTGTACTCCTGGCCTCTGTTCTGGAGATGCCACGCCAAAAGACGCTGTGGCTCCTGCATTCCCTCTCTCAGTCCTTCTGGTCCATACTCCTGGAATATTCTGTCAATCATTTTACCCGCTGGTGTTTGCAGTTCGGGCTGCTATAGATTTAGCCGTGGAGAGACTGGAGGAGGGAAGGCAAATTCTCGAAGTATGCTCCTGGCCACCTCCACGTTATTCTGCGCAATCTCTAAGGCTCTTTTCACTTCTTCAAAGGCGTACCCCTCTCCCATGAGTTTCGCAATTTTTGCATCAACATTTTCCAATGCTGCCTCAGGCCCATGGGATTTTCTGTGGTGAACTTCTGGTGCAGTCCGCCGGGGCCGTGGTTTGGGGGGTCTAGCTGGTGCTTGCGAACCATCTGTAGAGATTTTTCAAAGACAGACACCAAAGAAACAGTGAGACAAAAATGAATCCTAGAGGACACAATACTATTACCTCAATGCTTTTTATTAATTCTTATTTTTTCTACAAATACTTTTATTTGCTGGCTAGCTTATTGTGAAATGGAAAATGTTACCTCATTTTGAAAGTTAGAATGTGGTAGGAGAATGTTGTAGTTTGATTGAAAAATTAGCACTTTTTTTTTTCTGATTTCATATTTCACTTTTCAGGCCACACAAGAGATGTATAAAAGAAAAAATACCAAAAACCCAAACCAACCAACCAAACAACAACAACACCACAATGGCCAAAGCCCAAAGCCTAGAGTAAAGATGGCCAAGATCTATTTAGTCACATACCTTATCTTTCTCAACTACGGTACAGCCTTTGGCTGCTCCAAGTGGAAGAGAGTGGAGAGGTCCCTATCAGAGGGGATGCTTTCCCTATGACCTAACAAAAGAATGCAGAATAGCTCCCAAATGTTCTCTGTCCTACTCATGTTCTGGTATTCTGAACTATTTTGATAAATAGACCATGGAGGCTCTCCCTCTAGCTGACTGTTCATGTTAATAGTGCCGAACCTCACGGATACTAAGGAAAAGTCAACCGAAAAGAGCAGACGCTTTGACTCTATGGGCCAACAGGCTCAACAGATTAAGTGTGGCTTTGCTTCAGCCAACACGTTAGATTCTCATACAGGAACTTCTGCCCAAGAAAATGCAAACACTGAGAAAACATCAGGAGGACACTGGCTTATAGTTCAGGCCCCTGCAGGTAATCAATTACATTTTCTTCCTCTCATGCACTTTTTTTCATTGTGTGCAGCTGTATGTGTAGCAGGTGTGTATACATTTATGTGTGTGAGAGTGGGTACACCTGTGCTATGACCCACATGTGGGGGTCATACGGCAACCTTGGGTGTCAGTCCTTGCCTTCCACCTTGTCTGAGGTGGGGTCTCTTGTTTACCTTTGCATATATCCGGCTGGCCAGCCTACAAACTTCTGCAGATTCTCCTGTTTCTTGCTCTCATTTCACCGTAGAAAGCTGAGATTATAGATGTACTCTAACATATCTGTCTTCACATGGGTTATGGGAATGCAAACTCAGGCCCTTACAGCTGTATGGAAAGTAATTATCTTCTGAGCCATTGCCTATCCCTGATGATAGTTTCTACAAACAAAACCAGTAACATTGGTACCCATGAACAGGCAAGACTCTTGAGAACAAAGGAAATTAATTATATAGTCATGTAATGAACATATAATTTCTGGGTCTTGCCAAAATCTGTATTGGTTTTGCATTTCTAATTAAACTACATATCCCTGTACAGCATCTAGGCCCTCACTGCTTACTGGTTAGAGAAGAGGTGCTGCAGACTCCTCCCAACTGCTGATGTCACTTATGTCTCCAGGGCCTTGCTACAAGTAGAATCAACAGCAACACGGCCTGGGCTGATTTCCACCTTCCCACCCCAATACACAGCAGGGACCACCATTCTAATTTCAGGAGTATCTACAGAGTGAGCTCCTCACAGTTTTTGCTGTTCATCCTTCCTTACCTACTGAATGGCTAGTGTCTGTATTCTTGTGTGATGCAGAGACAGCTGGTCTACCTGATTGTAACAAGGAAGAGACAATGCCCAAACTCACTAATGCCAACTGGGATGTGGAAGGGACACTCAGCTAGAGTCAAAGCCAACACTGTATAATAAACTAATGCCGACGGCTCAGGGAATATTGCAGGAAAGGAGCATGGAAAGATTGCAAGAGCCAGAAGACAAGGGTGCCTACTGTGGGATGAATATATGAAATTTTAATATATGAAAGGGGAAGCTGCACCCATAAAAATCTCAAACATTTATGGTTACCTAGACAAGCGTTGCATAATGAAGACAAGAGTTGATAGGCCATTGCAGGTGGGGGAAATCGCAAAGGCCCTGCCCCTAATAGGACTACCAAACAAAGTAGTAATAACTAAGTAACCAGAGGTGCAAATTTCAAAATAGGAACATAATAATTTTGAGAAACCAAAAAGGTATTATGTTGCCTCTAGAAGAACTTAACTCTAGCAACAAATTTCAAAGAAACACACATAAAATGCCTGACAAAAGAACTGAAAAGAATGAACAGAAAAACACATCAGAGACTTGAAATAAACAGGTGAGTGAAATGAGGAAGATAATGTGGGCATATAAATGAGAAATTTAAAGTGAGATTATGAAAAATAAGCAAGCAGGTCCTGGATATGAATGGAAATGTCGGCAGCTGCCAGTATTAAGGGGAGGAAACATGAACTTTAAGACATGTCTTTTGAAATACCCTGTTCAGGCCAACAACAAAAGAATCATAAAGCACTCAAGATCTTTGGTACACCAGCAAATGAAAAAAAAAAAATCCCACAACATAAAACCAAATCCACATTTTTGGAATACCCAAGTCAAGGAGAAAAAAGTTGTGAGAAGCATTGACAACCTATGAATAATAGCAAAAGCTTCCATAATCTTGGAAGAGATACAGACGTTCGAGTAGAGGAAGCATACAGAATCCCAAATAAACATGATCAGAAAAGTCATCACCACAGCTGATTGTAGGCGAACTATCAAAACTATATAACACAAAGAATTTTACATTTTCCACTGAAAAAGGCTAAAGTCATATTTAAAGGCAGTATATCAGAGTAACAGTGATTTCTGAGCATAAACTTTATAGGTTAGGAAAACATGGAGTGATGTATTCAGATTCTTGAAGGAAAATAATGCTTGACATAATTCCATACAAAGACAGCAATCATTGAGAAAATCTGTGATTGCCAGAGAAGGCTTCCAAACGATAAGAAGTCCTGCATCTTAAGTGAAGGAAACATAATCACCCTCGTGAAAGCATATGAAAGAGCAAACCACACTGAAGAGGAGATATACCCCAAAGCAATAGAGCAAACACAGTGAACCAGCAAAAAGGATAAACAAAGCCACAGGCCTAAGAATGTTCAAAACACACACATATGCACGCACGCGCGCACACACACACACACACACTGGATAGTAAAACAATTTTCAACAATAGGTCACCTAAGACTGTAGTGAGCTAATGAAATGATGGGGGAATGTCTTTCTGTAGACTGAGAATATGTGTTGTTCTGATTGGTTGATAAATAAAACCGTTTGGCCTATGGCAAGGCAGCTTAGAGGCAGGCGGGAAATTCAGAGAGAGACAGGAAGAAGGCAGGAAGAGCGCCAGCGAGCTGCCCAAGGAGCAGCATGTAACAGGCACACAGGTAAAGCCACGGAACACGTGGCGAAATATAGATGAACAGAAATGGGCTGAGTTTAAGTGTAAGAGCTAGTCAGTAGTTAGCCTGAGCTAATGGCCGAGCAGTTTTAATTAATATAAGCCCCTGTGTGTTTACTTGGGGGACGCAAGTGGGAGAGACTTGTCCTGACCACCAGCAGGCTGGGACACAGGAAAACTTTCAGTTACAGTGAAGTCCTCAGAGAATGTGTACTGCTTGATATGGGCATGGCCACGTCAAGGACTTCAAAGCCTCAGTCCCACAGGAGGGCAAACACTTTCCCAATGAGGCCAAAGGGCTGAGAAAGCATTCCTTGGGTCTGAATGTGAATGCTGACAGTGTGTGCGGAATATGTCATCCACAGCTTTCTCTCTCCAGGTATTTATAGTCTAAAAACTGTTCCTCTACAGAAACTGCTCCTATGGAGATTAGTTAGCCCTGTTTCTGTATTCAGCTTTATATAATAACCCTACCTCCCTGTTCAACTGTACATAATAAACACACGGAGCGTTGGAGTGCTGCAGCTTCGTCAGAGCCCCAACTACCTGATCTTAGATCTTCTGTGTATGTCTGTGTGTCTCTGTCTGTCACTTACTCATTCCCATACCTCCCTAGTTAAGTCAACCCCTGGAGCCATACAAACACAAACTCACTTCACTAGTAAATACACAGACTGGTTGAGATAAAGGATGTTGAGTGATGTTCTAAACAGAATCTTAAAACAGACAGGACTGGCTATATTTATATCTAGAAATAAACCAAAAGATACTAAGAAAGTCACCTTATAATGAACAAATAGGCCATTCGACAAGGCCATATGATGAATCTATATGAACTTAAATATCAGAATACCTAATTTTACATAACAAAGCTATTGCGCCTGAAAGAACAGACAGCCTTCAATATAGTGATGGTGACAAGATTTCAACATCCTGCATCTGTCCAGATCATCCAGATAATGACATTATCGAACACCAGAGCTCAACTATAATAGAGATAAATGAACTTAGAAGACACCTACAGAATATTCCATCCAACAGCTGCAACACAGTCATTTTATCTGCACATGAAGCTTTCTCTAGAATAAATAGTCCATGTTAGGTCACAAAATAAGTATTAACAATTGGAAAACAAGTGAAATGATCAAAATGGAATAAAACGTAAGTTAACAAAAAGATTCCAAAAATTGTAAAAATTCATGGAGACTGAAGATACTTTTCAACAATCAAGTGAGTCAACAAGTTGGGAATGTTCTAAAATTTCTCCAAGATAATGAAAAGAGAAACAATACAAAAAACATATGAAATGCAAGAGGCACCCCAAGGCAGAAGATCACGCTGTGAGGACCTTCACAAAACAATCAAACCAAACAAACACCAAAAAACAACACCAAAAAACCAAAACCTTAAAATAAATATCCCTACTATCTCTAAAAGTTAGAAAAGCAAGAACAAACCTAAACCCCATTTAGCCTAAGAGAGGAAACAGCTGGATTTCAGCAGAAGTAAGTGCTAGAAAGGATTCACAGAACAAAGAGCTGGTTCTTCAAAAAATTAAACAAAATAAACTTCTAGATAGGTTAACTAAGAAAACAAGTAGATATGGTCAGAGATGGAAAAAGAAGCATTACAACCTCAAGCAGAGAAATGCAATTATTAGAGAGCCCTAAGAACAACCATATGCTAACA